CCAAACACCGCTGAGCGTTCGCATGATTTAAAATGGCCGCTGCCTCGTGGTCGACATACGAACGACGACCACCCTGAGTTCGGTTTAATTGAGAAGTGTCTGCGGTTAACTACAACGTTATAATGGTGATCACTTCGTTAACCTGCAGCACACTCCTCACTTGGGTGGCCGTTCGTTCGGCGGTTTTGTTCGGGAAAAAGAGTCATTCGAATGGCTGGGCTATAGAAACCAGCCATTCATACGAACGGGGACAAACAGACGAACGGCAAAAATCCAGCAGACAGATGGTTCTGTCACACGGCTCCCTCCTTGTGGGACACTCCGGCAGACCCGGCTTGACCCTGTGGCGGGTCAACTTGGGGATGACCGGACTACGAGGTGATGGAAACGTCTGTTTGTCGTGACAACCCATCTGCATTTCCGTTTAGCTTACCGGGTCTGTAGCTGATAGTAAAATTGTAGGGCTGTAGTGCCAAGCTCCATCTCAGCAGTCTCCCATTGTCTCCTGAGACCCGGTTAAGCCAAACGAGTGGGTTGTGATCAGTCACAAGGGAAAACTCTTGCCCATACAAGTAGGGACTTAACTTTTTCAATGCCCAGACCAAAGCCAAACACTCCTTCTCCACTGCCGCATAACTCACTTCTCTGGGTAACAACTTTCTGCTGAGATATGCGACAGGGTGCTCTCCTCCATCTTCCCCGACTTGGCTCAGCACAGCCCCCAGTCCATACATGGAAGCATCTGTATGGACGAGAAAGCGTTTGTTAGGGACTGGGGCAGCCAAGACAGGGGCATTCACAAGAGCCTGCTTCAGTGCCTGGAACGCAGCTTCACAAGCCGGAGACCACAGGACCTGCTTAGGCAAGTTTTTCTTTGTCAGATCTGTCAGGGGCTTAGCGATAGCGCTGTAGTCAGGGACAAAACGTCTGTAGTACCCTGCCGTCCCCAAGAAGGCCAATACCTGGGTCTTAGTAGTAGGTGTGGGCCAGTTAGCCACTGCCTCTACCTTGGCTGGCTCCGGTCTCTGGCTCCCACACCCCACTCTGTGACCCAGGTACTGTACTTCAGCCATACCTAGATGACACTTTTCTGGCTTCAATGTCAGGCCAGCGGCCCTAATCTTATCCAGCACTACCCCTACATGTACCAGGTGTTCCTCCCAGGACCCACTGTAGATCGCAATGTCGCCCAAGTATGCACAGGCAAATTCTTGGAAGCCATCCAGGAGTCTATCCACCATCCGTTGGAAAGTAGCCGGTGCATTTTTCATCCCAAAAGGCATGACCTTAAATTGGTACAGGCCAAATGGGGTGACAAATGCCGACTTGGGGATAGCATCCTCGGCCAGGGGGATCTGCCAGTAGCCCTTACACAGGTCTATGGTGGTCAGATATCGCCCCCTGGCAATACGATCTAGTAATTCGTCTACCCGGGGCATTGGGTAGGCGCCAGTGGTGGTCCGCTCGTTGAGTCGCCTGTAGTCCACACAGAACCGGGTGGTCCCATCTTTCTTTGGCACCAGGACTACAGGCGAGGCCCAAGGGCTGTCGGAGTGCTCGATAACCCCAAGTTGGGTCATCTCCTGTATCTCCTTCCGCATTCCTTCACGGACTGCTTCAGGGATACGGTAGGGGGGCTGTCGTAACGGGGTCTGTCCAGGGGTCTCTACCTTATGCACAGCTAGGGTGGTATAACCTGGTTCCTGGGAGAACGTCGCCTGCTTCTCCCATAACAACTGCTGCGCCTGTACCCTTTCTGTGGGGTTCAACCGGTCCCCTAGCTGTACAAGGGTAGTAAGGTCAGTCTGGGAATCCCTTTCTAATAGATCTGGAAGGGGTAAGTTCTCAGAATCATCTGCAGCTGGGGCACATACTGCTGCAATATTCTCAGGTCTCTCCTGGTACTTTTTCAGCATGTTCACATGAAAGGACCGCTGGATCCTCTCATCTGCACAGCTGGCTATCAAGTAAGTAGTGTCGCAGATCTGCGCCACTACCTTGTACGGGCCCTGCCAAGATGCCTGCATCTTGTTGGCCTTCACAGGTTTAAGCACCAATACCTTTTGCCCAACCTGGAAGACCCGCTGTCGGGCACCCTGATCGTACCATCTCTTCTGTCTCCCCTGGGCCGCCTGGAGATTCTCCCTTACCATCAGGGACAGTTTCTCCATGCGGTCCCGGAGTTCCAAAACATATGGTACTATGGGGATCCCTTCCTGCTCCGTCTCCCCCTCCCAGTGGCCTCTAATGAGATCTAGGGGTCCGCGGACCCTTCTCCCATACAGCAGCTCAAAGGGGGAGAACCCAGTAGATTCCTGGGGCACCTCTCTATAAGAAAATAATAGATGAGGCAGGAATCTCTCCCAGTCTCTGCAAGTGTCTGTAAAGGTCCTCAGCATCTGTTTGAGGGTACCGTTAAAGCGCTCGCAGAGACCGTTAGTCTGTGGGTGGTAGGGTGAGCTAAGTAACGGCTTAATGCCGCACACCTTCCACAGTTGCTGGGTGAGCACAGCGGTGAATTGGGTTCCCTGGTCGGAGAGGATCTCCTTAGGGAACCCGACCCTAGTAAAAATTCTAACCAGGGCATCAGCAACCGCCTCTGCCTCTATGTTAGACAGCGCTACTGCCTCTGGATAGCGGGTGGCATAGTCCACCACGGTAAGAACATACTTCTTACCGGATGGACTAGCCCTGGCCAGTGGACCCACAATGTCAACGGCTATGCGGGCAAAGGGCTCCCCTATAATAGGCATCGATAATAGCCTAGCCTTAGGGTGGTCCCCCCGCTTTCCTACCCGTTGACATGTGTCACACGTGCTGCAGTACATCCGCACAGCCTGGTTAAAGTTTGGCCAAAAGAAGTTCTGTGAAATCCTATAGGCTGTGCGGCGGGACCCTAGATGTCCAGCTAATGGAACATCATGCCCTATCCGCAGAATCTCCTGCCGGTACTTTGCAGGTACCACTAACTGGCGATTCGGCGGAGTGGCAACACTCTTCTGGGAAGGTTTAGGGATCCTATACAACCTGTCCCCCACCCACTCATACCGTTCCCCATCTATTCCTTCCTCCCCAGCATCTGCCCTGTCCTTGTATCTTTGGAGGGTCGGATCTGCCCGGGTTTCCCTCCCAAACTCCTCTGGGGAATCCCAGCTTAAGGGAACCTGATCTGGGGTACCAGTCGGGGAAGGAGATCTTACCTGGGTCTCGTCAGCAAGTGGGCTGGTTCCGGCAGCACGGGTCTGGGCACGGGTGGTCACTGGGTTCACGCCTGCAGGGCCCATCGGAGCATAGGCTGAAACCAAAGGGGCCAAATCGTTTCCCAAAAGAACATCTGCGGGCAAGTCCTTCATCACCCCCACATCCACATGCCTAGCGCCCACTCCCCAATCCAAATGTACTCGGGCAACAGGTAAGCGAAACACGGCACCCCCTGCTACCCTTACTGCCACAGTGTCCCCAGTGTGCTGATGCTCTGAGACCAAGTTCTTTTGGAGCAGTGTCATCGTGGCTCCTGTGTCTCTCAGCCCATTCACCACTCTGCCATTCAGCTTCACAGTTTGCCGATGTTGCTGGCGATTATCCTGGTGAGCTGCTTGCACTGGGTCTGCCTCGTGTAGAATGCCCCAAAATTCCTCCTGCTCTAGGCAGTGAGCAGCAGGCTGAGGTGGGCGCTGGTTTCCATTAACTGGTCTCCTCCAGGACTGAGCCTGGTTGGCACTGTTCAGTGGGCACTCAGGACGCTTGTGCCCCAACTGCTTGCACCCATAGCACCGGATGGGTTGGGAGTACTCCCGGGCATTAAATCGGGCTGGTTGCATATAATTGTTAGCTGGTGGTGCGGCTGGGGTACGGTGTACTGGGGGTTGGTAGACTGCAGGAGCGGGTGTTACTGCTGGTCGATACTCCAGTCTGGCAGGGGCTTTAGCAGCTGTACCATCCAACTTGCGGGCATCCGTGTATTCGTCTGCCAGACGGGCAGCCTCGGGTAGGGTAGAGGGTTTTCTGTCTCTGACCCATTCCCGGACCCCAGCAGGTAGTCTATCAAAGCAGTGCTCCAGCAGGAACACTTGTAACACCTCCTCCCCAGTTACCGCTTGGCATCCAGCCATCCAGTGGGCTGCGGTACGATGGACTCTGCAGGCCCATTCCACATAAGAGTCCCCAACCAGCTTGTTGGTTTCTCTAAACCTCCGCCTGTACGCCTCTGGGGTCACTGCATACCTGGCTAGGAGCGCCTCTTTCACAGCCCGGTAGCTGGTGATCTCCTTCTCTGGGATGGCCCGAAAAGCTTCACTAGCCCGGCCAGATAATTTCCCAGAGAGGATGGTGACCCATTCATCTGCAGGTACCTGATGTAGCGCACACTGCCTCTCAAAGTCTGCCAAAAATCCATCAATCTCTCCTTCTGTTTCCACAAAATTTTTAAATGCAGCAAAAGGTACCTTCTTTCTGGCAACCACATTATTGTCATACGGTACCTCTGCTGCTGCAGCTCCTCTTTCCCAGGCCGCCTGTTGTGCTGCAACTGCTGCCTGCACACGAACCACGATGTCAGCTGAGGGGTTGGGGCCAAAATGTGCCAGCCTTATTTGTACTGCCCGGTTGAATTGTATTTCCTCGGGTGTTAAATCCAAGGTACTGGGCACGTTGACTCTTTCCATTCCCGTTGCTGCATCCATCTCCATTAGCAAAGCAATAATCTCCCGTTTCTTTAAATTGCTTGCTGACCTTCCTCGGCGTTCCAATATGTCCTTAAGTGTAGCACGCCTTAATTCCTCGTACTGCATGTCTCGTAGCTGACCTCCAATGCTGTAGGATTCATCCCGTCGCTTGCCACCAATTGTTAAGACACCTCCCGTGTCTTTAAGCCAAACCGCCGT